TTTTTTTTTTTTTTTTTTTTTTTTTTTTTCCACTACGGTAACCGCTCCTTATTTTTTTTCCTACCATTACTCCTAACACTATATAGAGGGGACCCCTGCAAGCATTGGGCCTCGCAAACGAGGTAAATCATGTTGCGCCCCGCCCCAACAGAGGTACTGCAGTGAGAGATCGGGTGGGGCCGCCGGTGGGGGTCCGGCTAACAATAAGACCGAGCATTTTGCCAGTAGCTGCGCCTCCCTTTCCGTTTGCATGCAGTCGCGATGAGGATGCATTGTGTTAGGGGGAAGGAACTATGGGCCTCGCCTCACTACTGTGGAAAAGGATAAAAGTACGAGTGCATCTTGCAGCAGAAAATGGCAAGATGCATCTCTTACTTTGAATAACAACGTGTAACGCTTAAAGTTTCCGGGGAAGATGCGTTTCTTTTTTTCTGGCTTTGTTTCAAAACAGAATAGGAGGCCGGGGACCTCACAAATCAACCCGGAGTTATCCCGGCAGCGTCAGCCGGTTTAGCTCAATTCTCTAAGCTAAACCGGTTTGCAGCAGAGAATTGAGTCGACTCAATTCTCTCACTACAGTCTTCCTGCATTTTTTGCGTTTCGACAGTGGTGTTTGAAGCGAGAGTCGTCAGGAAAAAAAAAAAAAAAAAGGTCAGGAAACTGGTTTCGTTTGCGGCGCGGCGAGGCCCAGTGTAAAGAGGGCCTTGCCACACGGCTGGCTAAACTGACAAAGTTACGAGTGCATCTCTCCCGAAAAAGTGACAGGATGCATGCTTCACTATTTATAGTAATGCACGCATCGTGCACTTCCTGGGGAAGATGCACTTGTACTTCTTCTTGTTTTTTTTCCCGTTTCAACAGTGGTGTGGCAAGGCCCAGGGGCCAAGTCCCACTAGCAGCGTTGAGCTACCTCAAGGCCTGAATCTGGACGCTTTTGAGGAGATGTGCAGAAATGGTGTCGATTTTCCTGAACTGCACCGTCTCCACAAACATGTCCAGAGTCGGGCGTTGAGGTAGCTCAACGCTGCTAGTGGGACCACGCCCCAGAGCCTCAGAGGATCCCCCCACAGGCTGTCGAAAACCAGGTTTTCGACAATTTTGCATCTCCACACAGGGCCTCGCCACACCAGTGTCTAAATCCGCCAACTGTCAGTCGGAGACCGTTTTCGGCATTCACGGTTTCAACACAAAGTGGCTGCACTTAGTGGCTGTCGAAAACAGCGTTTACTCTAGATCCTCCCGCTCATGAAGCACTCTTGTCACGCTCCTGGAGTGCAGTGCACTTAGTCGGAGACCATTTTCGGCATTCACAGTTTCAACACAAAGTGGCTGCACAAAGTGGCTGCACTTAGTCGGAGACCCTTTTCGGCATTCACAGTTTCAACACAAAGTGGCTGTCGAAAACCACGTTTACTCTAGATCCTCCCGCTCATGAAGCACTCTTGTCACGCTCCTGGAGTGCAGTGCAGCCTGGTTTGTCCATCCAGACCCAGGCTCGCTCTAGGAATCCTGCGCCCTTTCAACTTTCAAGAAACCATCCAACCACCCTTGCAAAAACCGTGGTTGCAGGCAGGCGTGCAAGAGCGCTCTAGAAGTCTTCGGCTGACGGTGCCCTGACAGCTCGTGAAATGCATTTTCACGAGCGACAAGGCAAGAGTAGTGCAGCGGCGACAGCTCTTGACGTATGCAAGAGTAAGGTCTGATAGCTGTTGATGTGTTTTCCGACGGCCAAATTCACGTCGAGTAAGTGCAGCAATATGCACTCATGAAAAAGCACATTTCATGAGTAGTGCAGCGAGGCCCTATGTCAAAGACCCACCAAAACCAAAGTTTCGTTGCTAAAAAAGGGGAAAGAAAGAAGAAGAAGAAGAAGAAGAAGAAGACACGGGATGTTGAGGGAGCGACAGTACCCCGACCCTGCAGTGGCAGGTGTCAAAATCCGGACATCCTTCACAACCTCCCTTGGGAGATGTTGAAACTCGACACGCTGCAGGCGGGCCGTTCCAACCCCATGTCAAAACCACTTCTCTGGCAAATGTCGGAGTGTTTTCGACATTTGTGTGGCGAAGAAAAAATGTCCAAAACTCCTGTTTCTACATTGGTGTGGCTAGGTCCACAGACTTTCGAAGAATTGCGGGTCAAAAATTTTGACAGGTGTCAGAATGGTACGCTCGACAGCCACCCTCCCACCCTCCCCCATTCTTTTCTTCCCGCCTGCAGGAGACGGAAATTTGACAGTGCCCCACCTGCCTTTCAAAAATTGCGTTCGAATTTGCCTTGTCAGGGACTGTTCTGTGACACCCGTGCTCTGTAGAAAGGCGGAGTCCATTTGGCAAGACCAAAAACCTTGCCCCTCTACAGCCTGTGTGCCGAAGTGGGGGTAAACTGTCGACTGCGGACTTTCAATTTTTTTCTGACAGCTGTTTGAGTTTCGACAGCCTGTGTGGCGAGCCTCTCAGAGAGTACTCACACCGTTTCTGTGCAATAAGGCGAGGGCAAATGTCAGAGAGCCCTAGAGCATACTCACAAGACACCCTTTTCTTCTTTTCTCCCTTTTTTAACTGAGCTAGATTCTTCTCTTAATTTCACCTTACACTACCTACCTACTACTTCTCCCAATCATTGCACTAGAAGGAACCCTTCAGCAGGGACAACGGTGTTCACAAGAGAACATGCAGGAAGCTGCACCCTACCTGCAGGTGGGCTATACCAGCCAGGGGACAGCCAGTAGCATCCGAAACCATGCGAACAGGACCAATCCCTGCGCCCCCCCTCCAGTCCCCTCCCCCTACGAACA